GACACCGCGCTCAGCCGCCGCCCGTGCCCGCAACCGCGGCCGGGACTGCGCTGGGCTGGGACCTGCCCCTTTTACACCCAAGTCGGCTAAAACTTGCTCTGGTGTTTTTTCAGGATTCAAATTTTCTTAGTGAATATTCACCATTTCCACTGTCCCGACAAAAAATTGGCCATTGCTTAGTTACAAGCTTAAGTGAAATGGGAAAAAATGTCTTTTCAAGTCCCTACTCTGTGTGAAATATGGTCCTTAGCAAGGCTGGGATGGTGAGAACCAGCGATGTGAAACATGTTGCGTACCTGTGTGGCTTCAATGTTGATAACCTTGTAAGACAACTCCTCTGGTCTGGTCTGTGCAGCGTGTCTTGATTAAAAACATGAAATGAGTGGTTAATCCCATGAAGATGTATAAGGAAACGATAAAAATCAGACTTCATGAGGCTTCTGTAAGCACAAATGATGCTCAGAGGATGCTCACAGGGTGTGATTGGATGGGGCTTGAAGCAGCCTGGTCTATGGAAGGTGTCCCTTCCCATGACAGGGTAGAATTAGAGGACCCTTAAGGTCCTTTCCAACCCAAACCATTCTGGACTTCGATAAAGTTTGGACTATGCCTCTGTTCCTACTCGGCAAATTAATATATTCACCCGTTTGGAGGCTTCTCCCTGTCCTAGATATTTTTGTTAGGTGTAGAAGAACGGGAATATTTCTGTAGCAGAGATGAAAAGCAGATAGAAATATCCTGCTAAAATGGCTGAAGGGATGTTTCTGTCCAGTGGCATTGGGAGCATGGCTGCATCACAGGAAACATCCTGGAGTAGGATAGCAATGTGCTGGTCTGACCCTAAAGCTGCTCAGGACCAGCTTTGGCCTCCAGGGCTCCCCACAGGCGACCCAAACCCAAACCATGAAGGACTCCAGCGTACTCTTCCTCCTCATCGGTTGTGAACAAGTTCAGCCGAAATCCTGTCTCTCCACCAGTGGGTTTCTGGATGTCCAAACCTCCCAGCAACCGGGCCAGAAAGTTCAGCTCTTCTTTAGCAAGAGGGTTGGGGGCTATGTTCTCCTGCAGGAAACAACAGGGGGTCTGGTGGACAATTACCTGGGAGACTGGGGCTGCAAGGAACTTTGGTATTCCATATATGTCCATCATATATTTCTGATATTCCATACACGTCCTTCAGAGGGATATAAACACATTTCCCTGTTGTTCCTGGGACAGACTGTGCAGATTACCAAGTAATCACCAGCTCAATACTAGAAATGGTTGCTTGAATTTATAGACTCAGCACAAGATACTTTTCCAGCTAAACTGGACAGATGAAAAATCTGTAAAGTCAACTTTCTGTTTTCTGAGGAGATTAAAATGGAAGCAAGCACATCCTTGCATGAACGTGTGGATTCTTTGGGAAAATGTGCCTTTCTCCTGGCTTCAAAGGACTGGGGAGGATTGGATGGGGCTCTGAGAACAACAGAAAAGCTTCCCTGAACTTATCCCATATCTAGAGACTAAGAATTTGGCCAGTTTAAGCAGTGACAGGAACAGGACAACACTGACCTTTGCCTGGGATGCCAGGTTTTTGGATGATCCTGACATGTGTGTCTCCACTGGCCGGGTCACGCTGTACCTAGAGGGAAAACACACAAAGAAGAACAGCTTGTTCTGGGACGAGCTACAGCAACCAGAGGGAGCAGCACAGGATGCAGAATTTTGAGATATTTTTTTGAAGAGTGAACAATTGCAATGAGAAGTTAAAGCTCAGTGTGGTGCAATACTGAGGAACTAAGACGTGTGAGGGACAAAGTTGTGAGAAGGAACAGATCTCAGAAGGATGGAAAATGTACATTAAGGCAAACATGGAGAACAGAAAGGATTTTTTGACAGTGGTTACATTAAATCACATTTCACATAAGGTGCAGCACCAGGTGAGAACACTCTTTCCTCAGTTCCACTGTGGAAATCAAAGTTTTGCTGTTTTCTGCAGCTCTTTATACAATGTTCATACATGTCCTGGTGCAGGACAGCACCTTGTAACAAACTGAACCTGATAATTAATAGCAAAAGAGGCCAAAACCATACTAGGCTGAAGATGTGCTTCTGAACAATCTATCAGATTTGGTTCAAGTTTCTACATAGAACAAAAATTACTTACATATTTGTTCCAAGTTTGAGGACTCTGTCTCCATAAAGCTCAAAAGATCCTTCCCTTTGTGGAGTAACATAATTCCCAGCAGTGGTGAACTCAGTCCTTCTAACTTCCACTCCTTTGTGATTGAACATCCTTAAAAATGAGCCATTATTGAAACGTTTAGTAGTTTCAGTCCTGATTTTAGTACCTAATTCCTCTGCTTTCTGCATGAGGGGAATAAAACTCCATTCTGTACATTGCCATACAGTATGGTATCCCATACCTCTGTTATGGGATAAATTAATAACAGCTAATTTACTGGGATAGAAAACTCCAAAAGCAGCTCAACATTTCATTGCATTAAATTTGGTGACTTAGTCCCAAATTCTGCCCTTTAAATAGTATTTACTGGAGGTTCAGCTGTCCATGCAACAGGAATGGCAATTTGAGCTGGATTCCTGAGCCTTCTAGAATGAAATGCTCTTCCCTGAGCAGCCCCACACATGGCACCAGCTCACCTGATGAGCCCTGGCACCTCTGTGCCCCACGGGACAGGCCCTGAGATTGGCAGCACAAAGCGACCGTTTGAATTTTGCACTTTATCCTTCAGGAAGATGGAGACCTGCAAAATGAAATCACAAACATCACACCCTGGGGAAATCCTCTACGGACCTTCCCACCCAAATTCCCTGAAATCTGAGCTTAAATTTCTCTGCCTACAGTGGGGAAGGTCTCCTAGAGCTCTTGATGTGTGTATAGGGATGTATTTACAAAGCTAGTGATGTGGAATTATGGTCCAGAGGATGGGCACGGATATAACATGAAAAAAATTAAATTAAAAACTACATCCTGTTTGTGCACCTGAGTGTGACCAATTTGTTTAGAGAACATCAAGACTTCATGCTCAGGTTTCCTATCAAGTTTCTTCTAAAAGGAAAAATGGATTTATCAATCAGCAAATCACACTCATAGAGATTCCTTTTGTCATAATATTGTAGAATTATTCAGCAGTATTGCAGTATATGTGCTCAATTTATGAAATTTGAGTGCAATTACAAGCACATCAAGATGACTGAAAAGCACAAGCAACAAACCCAGACCTGCAGTGTTTATAAGCAAATCCCTTTGTATTCCAGCCCCAAACTCCCTGTCATTCTCCCTGCCTAGTTGGATTGGGCTCTTACCCTGATGTGCATATCTTGGAAGAAAATGAGAAGTGTTTGCCTGATGAGCTGGAATTCACCATCAGAGAGACAGTTGTAGGTCTGGAAAAGGAAAATCATCATGGCAAGGGTTTACAGGTGTTCCATGTCCCACTCAGGGAAAGAGGGAACAAGTACAGCTGAATATTCTGATCCGCTTGCAGGGGGAGCAGAGATGCTCTAAGGGGGCTGCTGGTCATTATCAGTAATTATTGTCTGTGACTGAAAGTCTGATTTAATTTCTGCTGAAATCAGTGGAGACTTAAATCAGGCTGAATAAGCAATACATTGATTTAAACTGGGCCAGTAGAAAAATACTACTTAACTCACAGCCCTCTCCAATGTAGTAATCCATCTCTGAAGAGGTAAAAAACCCATAGAATCAAACCACAGCGTGTCCCACCCTTTTTTTGAGGATTCTTACCTCAATCAGCCGCCGGAAGGTCTCATCCACCTGGTTTAGAATGCCAGGGGAGTCGGAGATGAAATCCTTGATGGCATCCAGGTGGTTGAACGTGACCAGCAGAATGTCCCTGGGCCGAGGGCACAGGAGCACTTGGTATTTGAAGGCCATAGTCATGAGGTCGTAGAGCTGCAAAGGAACACAGGAATGTTGGTCCTATTACAGAGGAAACCTCCTAGGCATGGAGAAAGGGATTAAGTCAGGCCAGCACCTGCCTGTGGGCCTGTGGCACAAGGAACCATTTTAGCTTCATTTCCTGAAAAAACAAGATCTCTGCAGTCCCATCCCCAGCCTCCCTGCTGGATCTTCAATGTCACCAGTGCTCAGTGAGGTCATACCTCAAGTGCCGGGTCCAGTTCTCGGCCCCTCAGTGCAAGAGAGACATCGAGGGGCTGGAGTGTGTCCAGAGAAGGGAACAGAGCTGGGGAAGGGGCTGGAGCACCTAAAGCAGCTGAGAGGGCTCAGCCTGGAGAAAAGGAGGCTCGGGGGGGACCTTCTGGCTCTGCACAACTTCCTGACAGGAGGGGACAACTTGGTGGGGGGTCGGACTCTGCTCCCACAGAACAGGGACAGGAGGAGAGGGAACAAGTGCTATGCCAGGGGAGGGTTAGATTGGACATCAGGAAGAATTACTGCATGGAAATGTTGATTAAACATTGGAAAGGGCTGTCCAGGGATGTGGTGAAGTCCCCATCCCTGGAGGTGTCCAAGGAATGACTAGACGTGGCACTCAGTGCTCTGGGCTGGGTGACAAGGTGGGAACTGGGCACAGGTTGGGCTCAACGCTTTTGGAGAGGTTTTCCAACCTCACTGATTCTGTGAATTTCAGCAGCCCTGACACCTGGGTAGAGGGCTCTCTGGTAATCCCATTCCTACCATATTTTCCTAAATTGGCTGTGGATACACGGTTTGCGGGCAGTAACTCTAACACCTGCAAGACAGTGGGTGTCAGTACAGAAATACAGACATTTATCCACACCCATATACCAAATATGTGTATCTTTTTATATGAATATATACCGAAACACCTGATAAACTTAAGGAATGCTTAGTGAACTTGTTCAAATCAAACATTTAGCTGTTCAAGCAGAAAAACTCAGTTCTGAAGCAGCTGATACCACCACGGATTTTCTTGGCCGAGAATCATTTACACAAGGAAATCTGTTCCAAAATGGTAAAGCCACGGGTTAATTATTGCAACAGAAACTGGTGAAGGGCAGCTGGGGAGTGCAGCAGAGGCAGGCTGGGCAGCAGGAGTGGTACCTTGTCCATGCTGGCCTGGTTCAGTCTCATGATGGAGGCGTGAGCCAGCCGGTCGTACACGGTGCGCAGGGCTTTCTTGGAATACAGATCCTGAGGCTTGAACAGCTCATCCATGAATTTTTTGTTGAACATGGTGGTGATGATGTCATTCATAACTGCAAAGACAAATAAACTCTGTGGTTTGCTGCAGAACAGCACGTTCCTGGTCCATCCCAGCTGCAACAGTCACACTGGGGTTACCTGTGCAGAGCAGGGACAGAGCACATCAGGAGAGAGGGAACAGCACCTCTGGATCCAGCACTGCCTCACTCCCATCTGGGCTGAGCCAGCTGGTGTCCCCCAGGGCACAAATGCCACCTGAGCTGAAGGCAGCAGTCCCTGCTTCCCCATGGGAATAAGGCTGGCTTTGCTGCCCCGGTTTAACAGCTATAGCTGACACTTTTCACTTTGAAATAATGTTGCTCGTAGGCTGCTCTGATGTGTTATTATCTAAAAAAGCTGCAGTTCTGCTTCCTAAGGAGAGTGTTTTGCACTGTGGTAAATCTTTGCAGATTGCAGCTGCCTGGCTGTGCCTTGACACCATCAGTCTATTTTTTAACTTCTCAACAGAAGCTCCTGCAGGGCTCTCTGTAATCTTTATTCCAAGCAGATTAACACTGGCAGGTATTTAATACAGCATTTATATCCCTGGGATCTATATCAACATTCAAGGCTCTCACAGCTGAAACATCTGCCGGCCCTGAAGTTTCAAATGCTGAACTTCAAACTTCCTTATTTGTGGTTCATTTTTTATGTGCAAATTTAGCCATTTTTATTTTTACTGTTTTATTACTGAGGAGTTCTTAGAACTCAGAAGTGCTGAGTGTGAGGGCTGTGCTCTTGTTATTGAGCTTTTAATGCAAACAAGATGGAAAACATTGTGCAGTGGTTCAAACAGATGCAGCATCTGAGCTTTTGTGCTGGATCTGCCCCTTTTATTATCTCTCTGATACACTCTTAAGAGTTATCATCAATAAACATTTATTCCTCTATTAAAAAAAAAAGTAAATGAATACATCAGGTCACAGATTACTGTATAAGTGTGGAATTTCCTAAGCACCTGACTTTTAGGAAGCTCATAATGCCAAACAATTATTGTGGATTAGAAAAATATCAGAAATAATAATAATAAAAAATAAAAAGGAGAAAAAGTGAACATACAGAGAGTCGTAGTGACCGATGGTTTAAATTATTGCCCTTATGATTCCCTGGAGGGGTCACACACCTGGCTTTTCACACCTGTCATACATCAAGAGACAAAACAAAGGTAATTTCACTGTAATTTCATCTCTTCCTAGAGGATAAACTTCCTGGGGGTCTGCTGGGAGCCTGGGCAGGGAGGGCTCTGCTCCCAGGAGCAGAGACCTCCTGAAGTGACTGCCTCCTCTCTAAACCTGCTGGTCACAGGTTCCTCGTGCACTGGTCACACAGCTCAGCATCCCCTGTGCTACACCTGACAGGGCTCCCTAGTCCTGGTTTAAACACCCCAAAACCACAGACAGATCTCAGCTCCTGAGCAGTCAGGACTAGGAATACACCTAATTACAAAGGGGAAAAAAGTCCCTCCTTTCTCCCTTCCTTTCAAATAAAATGACCATAAAACAATCCCTACTTGCAATCTCAGACAGAAATCCCCTGTTTTTCATGGAGAAAATAAAATATATTAGTACTAGTAGATATTAGTATCTAGTTAATTTTGCAGGGAATCAATAATGACAAAATAAGAACTTCTGCTTCATACTGCGATTAAGGAAAATATTTTTAAGCTGCTTGTGTGTGTTGCCCACACAGACTTCTCCTGTGTTTGGAGAGTCACAAACAACCCAAACCACCAGGAGACAGACACCTCCTGCACACTGATTTTTCAACAGAATCGAAGGTCTGTGTGAACCACAGACATTTATCTTCTGAAATTAAAACCTCTTGTGTGGGCTATAAAAAGAACTAAGAAAGATATTAAAAAAAAAAAATCACAGTAAAGGGCAAATTGATAATAAATCTCTCACATGTTTGATAATGACACAGCAAAGGTCTCAGTGGGGCCCTGGAGTGGCCATGGCAGGTGACACAGGAGCATTAGCCCAGGAACATGGCACAAGCAACACAGAAAAAGCAAGTGAGCAGAGAGTGGAGGTCATCAACTGGGATGAGAGAAGGGAAACCAGTATAGCCAGTGCGATGGACAGGACTGAAGCTGGGGGTGACGGTGGCTTTGGCCTCCCCATGCCATGTCTCTGGTGACAGACAGCATGTGTCACTGGCATGGCTGGGATGCATGACACTGGAGCCACACCTGGGTGATGCTGGTGGTTCCTGGAGGATGTTTGGGGCAGCAGAAGGAACATTCTGAGTTCTGGTCAGTCACCTTGCGTGCCACAGATTCGTGGTTCCTCAGGGAACCTTCTCACAGCTCCATCAGTGACAGCCTCAGGTGGTGACTCCAGGAGCCTCCTGAGATCCCCTGGGGCACTGAGAACAGGCAAAGTATTCTCCCTCAAAGGAGAAGTGATGGGTCTGGGATCTGCCTTTGAGCCGGCCCTGGCTCACTACATCACAGCTCTGGGCAGCTCCTCATCATTTTGGATGGGATGGAATCTGTTCCTGGACTTCTGAGTTAAAGGCTAGGAAAAGGGTGTGCTTGGAAACAGGAAGTAATGGTAAGAAAAAAGCTGGGGAAAACTCAATGACATCACCATTTACCTTCAGTAAATATTAAAACCTACCAATGATGCTTAAACACAAATCATAACCTTGACCCCTCTTATAAAAGGGCTGCTCAGAAGGACCCTGTAAGTTCTACTCATGCTCACCGAGCAAAAACCTGAGATTCAACACATTAATTTCCTCATTCCTTAGCACAGCCTGTGCTGGAGGCTCCTGTCCCAGGGCAGATTCCAGAGGGAAACATGTCCACACCTCAGCTGCTCCCCTGCAGCACCCCAGGGCTCAATCCCACCCTCAGGATCCCTCCAGTCAGTATGAGCTTGGCTGAGGTGTGGGCACCTGCTCCTTTGGGATCACTGCCAGGTGTAACCACCAGCACAAGTGGGTAAAGCAGCTGGGATGGGAATGCCTTCAATCATCCCTGGAGTTCACCTGTCCAAACCCTGAGCAATGAATTAGAGAAGACCTTAGAAAAATGGAATATACCAAATATTCCTGCATTTAAGAAGAAAAACGACCTGCACAATGCTCACATAATTGCATGCTTGCATGAAAACAGTGGTAAAGAGACACAAATACCATTTTTTGCAGGCAAGACCACCAGGATAAAAAGTTTTGATCCATTTATAGGCTTGGTTAAATTAAAAACTGATTTTTGAGGCCATATGATTTTATGATATGGTCTGTTTTTTCACTGATTTACAGTCAAAAGAGCATTTAATGCTCTTTAATTTAATTGAATGCATTTAATGTAACCAGATGAGAATTATTGTTCATTTGTGACACTGACTGAAGGCTGCAGGAACAGCCTCAGGTGTTCAGGCACGATGAGCCCCAGGTGTGCACGTGGGGTTGGACTGGTGCATGCAGCCAGCAGTTACTGTACCTCGTTTCCTGTCCACATCTGTCCATTCATCTACACGAAGCATATAAAACAAAACAGCAGTTCAAGATGTAAGAACAAGAGTTGCAAGGAAAAGAAATAGAAAGAAATAAACTTTTTTTTTAAAAAAGCTAACAAATGGATTTTGTCTCATCAGCATTCAGCACTGAATGAGAACCTCACCCTCCCCTTGGATAAAATCCTGCTGCTTCAGTGCACATCAAATTTTACCCTTTGCATGAGCTTAGGTAGGTTTCAGCTGTATTTTGCACTTACAAGTAACCAACATTTGAGTGAAGAGTTTTAAGCATCAACAAACACCTCAGTGTGGATGAACCACATCTCAGTGAAATCAACACACAATTTTTTGGAAGAAAAAAAAAATCCATGCATGGACAAGCTAAAACAGTCCAATTCTCCTGCTGAGATACTCCATCAAGATTTAATTGAGCTAAAATCCTAAATTTGTCCCTGTATGAACAGCAGTAAACTTCTGTCAGATCACTGCCTCATCAGGACACACATGAATAATAACAAATTGCTCCCTCACAAACAATACAATAATTACACAGTGAACCCTTTGTGGTTAGCACTTCATAAAGGACAGGCAGAAGGGATAACAATACCAAGCTCATATCAAGTTGATTTTTTAATAAAACACACCAGAGCTTCCCGAGGCACATTCCCCATCCCCTGACACAGAGGTGCAAGGACTTGTAAAGCAAAGCTTTAATTTGAAGTGGTAAATCCAGAGGTGCTTGGCTGTGAACTGGAGTTTCATACCCCTCATGAAGCCACATGAGGCTCTGTTTGTACAAGGATTTTGGCCAAATAAGATTGTAGAAAAGCCAGACAAGGTTTTCAGGAGCCGTATTAGTATTTGAATTTCACACAACTGCACATGTTGCGTCTGCACAAGATTTACATATTTATTCCTGGAAGCTCCTTCCCATTGCAAAACAACCTGGTCTGCCCCAAAAGTCCAGGACCTGGGCTGACATAACCAAATCCTGAGTTGAGTCCAAAAGTGCATTTCTGAAGCTTTAACCCCCGAACTGAGCACAGAAACACCGACACGGACTCTACTTTATCCTTCTGTGTGAGAACCTCCCAAACCAAACTCAGCAACACCTTTGTGCTGTTCTTATCACACGAACTTCACCGAGCTGATCAACCCAACGGGCTGCACTTCCCAGTGGAGACCACAAAACACAGAGGGGTGATAATTAAGAGTGGGAACTACTACGATGGAGCCCTGAAATGGGGGCAAGGGAACTCCTGGCCAGACTGATGCTGTCAATTCGCAGCATCCTCTGCTGACAGCACAGCGTGCGCCTGTGTGTCCTGGTGCAACAAGTGACAGAAGGAGAGGACACAAAGCTGCGCCAAGGGAAGCTTAGATGAGAAAAAAATTCTTCACTGAAAGAGTGATTGGGCAATGGAATCGTCTGCCCAGGGAGGTGGTGGAGTCACCGTCTATTAAAAGCCTGGACGTGGCACTCAGTGCCATGGTTTTGTTGATGAGGAGGTGTTAGGTCATAGGTTGGACTTGATGATCTCAAAGGTCTTTTCCAACCTCGTTCATCGTGTGATTCTGTGGCAATCCCGGGAACCGACAAGCCGGGGGGAGCAGCCCGAGCCGCGTTCGGGGAGGGGGGAGCGGGAGCAGAGCCCGGCCCGGGGACACCGGCAGCGGCTCCCCGGGCGCTCCGCAGGCACCGGGAGCGGAGGGAGCCGTGCCTCGGGACACCGGCAGCGGCTCC